CTTCGCTGCTCTGTTAATATGAAGTTAAGATATTAGTGATATGCCTACCACAGAACGATTGACAGAATGACCATTGTTTGGTCGCTATTGGCATACTGACTGCCGGAACTAGGCAGGTGTTTGCTGCTGTCAAGAGTGGTAGTCGAACCGAGCCGTATCGCTAATATACTTTTAGTGCAGCCTGACAGCGCAGTGTCCTTGGCTCTTCGTGATCCGTCCCTCTCTGGACGCGCTTCCCTGTCTGTCAGCCGGGCCGACACCACCCCGATGCCGGCACCGAAGTTTCAAACCGGACCAGCACGACCAACGCAGAAGTGCTAGTCCCGGCCACTCGGCCGCAGCCAGCCGGTTGGCAGCCCGAGTCCTGAGGTGCGGGTGATTACGCTTGTGTCGCAACTGCTGCCACCTTTTCTATTTCGTCGCAGCAGACAGTGACGTACGCGACACATCTGCCCATTGTGCGGCGGAAAAGACATCAGGTCAGATGTGTGCGGACACAATTCAATCAGCTAACGCAGATGTGAGATCGGAGAAAGCCGGACTACGGAAGCTGTGACTATGCAACAATAAGCAGCCCACAGTGTTACTACAAGAGGGAGCTGGGAAGTTCAGAGATGACCCCGGCACAAACCGACCACTACAACATACCAATCACGTCAGATAGCCCGATTCAAGTAAGCCTTCACCACTCAGTTTGGGTATCGTGGGCATGACGGAGGCCTATAACACACATAAATCAGTTTACTGCAGCCCCAGGCGGGTCAGAGGGGCTTTGGTCAACGGGTACGATGGTCAGCAGTCAATGCTCAGACACATCCCTCATTAAGAGGTCCACAGCAGATGTAGGGTGTGCCCTTTAGCGTTCATTATCATTGTATTGAATATATCCGCTTGAAATTGACGAGACTATTTGCGCTGCCACGCCATGGCAAAAATATGCCGGTGACAGGTTCCCGATGCAGGAGTCGAACCCAGCTCTCGCGATACCCAAACAGGCGCACAAACCTCTCAGCCACTTACGATCTTGTCGTACTGACGTGGTAGCCCATCTCCGTTCCAACCGCTCCACGCAGGCGCAGGTAGACTCAACGCCCTACGTTCCAAACCTCGCGCAACATGACCCCCAGACCTTCAGCGTACCACAGAGCCAACCTGCCCCCCCCCCCCTCTCCAGAGCTTCACAGCACCGCACCTCCAGACGTGCCCCCCTCCGCTCACCTGCCCACGATGCCGAACCTTCTTGCCATTGCCGGTCATGGCTGCTGCCGCTGCCGTCCCCACCGAGCTTGCCTGGTCGTCCGCGCTGCTGCTGCCGGACCACGCGCGGCCCCTCCTCGTCGGGTCGATCTCGGCCGACTGGCAGCCGGCCGGGTCGGGCGGCCGCGCGCAGGCGCGCCGGGCGCCGCCGGCCTGCGCATCAGCAGGCGGGGCACGTGTGGGACGTGGCCAGGGGGGCCGGGCCGGACGGGGAGTCGCCAGGACCACACCATCGCCCTCCCAGGGTTGTTGACTTGTCCCCACAGGGCATAGTGTCTCATATCTGTCTCCACGGGGGAGAGTGCCACTCGTTTGACGGTATGCCTCGACAGCGCAAAGGTGGGTCTTATCTGTCGTCATATGGTAGGGTGGCTCTCATCTGGTGGAATGTGTCCACGGGGCGGGGCACCTCTGGGTGTCGGCTAATTGATGGGCTGTCTCGTCAGGCTCTCACCTGCCGGTGTATCTTCAGGGGCAGAAGCGGCTGGTATCTAGCGGGCTGTCTCCACAGGACGAGGGTAGCTTTCACGTGATGCACTGTCCCCAGAGGGCGGGAATCGCTTTCATCTAGAGGACTATTTCCAGAGGAAAGAGCGTCTCACCTGGAGGACTTTCTCCGGAGGAGAAGTATGGCTCTCACCTGGAGGACTGACTCCATAGAAGATATGTGGCTCTCACTTGGAAGGCTGTCTCTAGGGGGAGGGATGGCTTTCACCTGGAGGACTGTCTCCAGAGGGAAGGGATGGCTGTCTTCTGGAGGACTGTCTCCGAAGGAGATATGTCTCTCACCTGGAGGACTGTCTTCGGAGGGAGAGATGGCTATCACCTGGAGGACCGTTTCCAGGGGAGATATGTAGCTATCACCTGGAAGACTGTCTCCAGAGGTTGGGATGGCTCTCGTCAGGATCATTACATATGGACCATGGGCACTAACATGTGGACCATGCCATATTAGAACCACTGGACCAATGTGTCAAGAATTGATTTCCACCAACAACTAGATCTAGGTGTGCCCAGGGGCATCACTTCGTATGCATACTTTTGGGAAAGCCTGGGCCCCCCCCCCCCCCCCCCCCAATGGTGACTTGAGCCCCCCTCCCTACGATCCTACACTGAGCCCTACCCTCATGCGAGCAAAACCGGGAATACCGGCAGGAGAAGTACAGCAAGTCCTTTTGCACTGTAGTTACACCACGTAACTAAACACATCACCTGTCAATATCATGCTCGTTTTGTACCAAATAAAAGTTCCTGTAGAAACAGACGTCATGTTTTTGCTATGCCAACTGTCTCATATGCGATGCCCGCTTGTAAATGTCGGTACGTCCTCCGCTTATAGCACAGGTGGAGGTGCAACAACAGAAATGAACTGCAACATGGCGCAGCTGTAATCGCGTAGGCTGACCCAGGAAAAGGCTAGCCAACGTTTCCCTTAACAATAGCTGACGTTTTTTGTCCCACAACCGGTAGGCTTTCTCATAAGGGCAGTTTGTTGTAAATTATCATTGCAGTTTGTAAATTTTGAGGCGTGTGTAAAAATCGTTCCATAAAGCAGAAACCTATAAACAACAACTACAAATTACTAATCTACAAAACCAAGCACAAAAAGTTGCAAATCTCCCGAAAATTTCTACAACCCTACTTTGGTACGTTTCATAACGGCCAGCTGATTGTCCAGCCGCGGTGCATTTGTAAGATTAAAAGTACAAATCGCAACTACAAATCAACGATGGCCTACCCCATTGTAGAAAAAGCGATCGCAAGCTTAAGGTAACGCCAGCAGCGAAAATGGATTCTGGACTCGAAGCCCGCCGAAAGAGCCTTGCAAGAATCTTCCTGGGCAAATAGGCAAGTTCTCAGAGGATGTGGGAGGATAAACAAGCTCGCATAATACAACGTTCAGAGGAAGCAGCTCAGTGAGTGTTAGTGGATTTAATCATCTCTAATTCCGCGTATGGCCCGTGCAACCAAGCGTGCAGCAAATTTATTCCTTTGCGTTATCACCCATCACTATAAGCGACCCTGGCAGCCGCAGCGATCCGATCGAAATCCTGCGTTGTCTTGGGCTCGCGTGTTGAGGGGGTGAGGAGATAATGATACGAAGGTGACCATTTTCCGTGATTAGGCCCACTGGCATCCAAGTCAATGCCGGGATGAAATGGCTGTATTAACAGGTTATGAAGTGTCTTAATTTTAAGTGTAGTTACTGCTCATACAAGTGAAAACAGGGATGTTCATCCTATCAAACTGCGGGCATGCGACGGCATTCACCTTGACGCCAAACAAGGACAGATATCGCCGGGTGTGAACGATGCATGAATCCCATGTCTGTGAGTAGAATGTGGGTGCCTATCATGGTAATAGAACACTAGTATTACGCTAGTTCACTGGGTCACCGTTTCACTGGCTGCCGTGACAGCGCCAATATTCTGTTTGTTTACTTCTGTTTAAAATTGCTGTAAGACGCGCACATGTTTTTTCGTACATGCGTATCCTAGCAACCGCCAACAGCGGTGTTAGAATAGTGCTGAGCAAAATGGCCCAGGCATCAATGTTGCGGCAAAAATGTTTTGTCTTACCAAATATCGGAGGTGGTGAGAAATATATTTATAATATCATTTTGTAAATACATTTATATTTACTGTAGCTCAACAACTAGCTTTCAATAACAACGAGAAACAAGGCTTTGGAGCAGGAAGGCTGAGGCCACTAAAACCTACATTGGCGAGCAAATATTGGATGAAAGCGATGGAAGTGCAGCGAAACTTCCCCAACTACTTTGCGTTTGCTTCTTTCTACTATTGATATGCATTCTTTTTTGTAAGCAGTTTAGATGTCAACAGAGCCGTCCAATGGTCAAAGATCGGCACGTAGTAAAGGGTCTTAAGATCGCATTTCGTTGAGGGTCTCGACTTCTCGGGCCGTGGACAAATCGCATCTGTGCTAGCGATCTTATGCCCGGCCCCTTCTCTTTCTCTCACTTCCACCTTACTCTGCCGTAAAGACGTGGATTCCTACAAAATAGCACGTCATGCTGATGAAAATCCCGCTGAATGCAGTCCTCCCTGAAGGATTTTGGACGATGCAATATCTTCGATCTCATATCAATTTCTGACTCGCTTTTGCCGCTCAATCCTCAAATACCAAAGGAAAACATAAATGCGTAGGAACCTAAATGTACTCTTATAAATGCACCTAACGCACCCACATAAGGATGGAATGGGCATGTAAAATAACGATTGAGGGAATGGACATTTAGACCCAGACCTAGACTCAATTGCATTCATTTAGTACATTCAAACCTCATGTTTACCGTACCCCAGGTCGGTCAATCCTGTGCTCAATGTTTTCCTCAACAAATTCAGCAAGACCAGAGCTCTGATGGGAATCTATGACCACTAAACATCATTAGTTATTGCACACGCTCTTGGACATCCGTTCTGAAATCAACGGGACCTAAACCATGTAAATTATACAGGTGCCTAGATTGCTAGTTTATTCCATGTCGCAACTTGTATAAAGAACGAGGTAAAACCGGAATCCCGGATGATCCCGCGAGGATACCCAATGCACGGAATCCGAATTGGAGCAGACAGGTCTCGCGCTACGTCAACTGACACCTCCCATCATTTCTTGGAACACCGCCGGCTGTACTCGTTTCATGGCATAGCCTTTAAATGAGATGGTACACTGTACCGGACGTCATTGACTTGTTATGGCAATGGTACAGTGGTCCTCATACAATAATCCCGGCTAAGCACTCGAAGACCTACACATCGTGGACGGTGATATGAGCGAGATCATCAGCTTCAACATGCCGTGCAAGTGTATTCAGATCGACGGAACACACCTTAGCAGACAGGAAACGACGACAGTTTAGACGCATTCCGCCTAAACCAGACATGACACATTCCGTCGAAAGGACTTCTCACAAACACAGTAAAACAACATTCACAAACTGTCCAAGTGGCTTATGCAGCCAAAAAGGAGACTGCACCTAGCACAGCGTACAGTTCCCGTCCACAGGCAACCGCATCGTCATCATAAAACCATCAAATACACCATCACATACCATCGTCACACATAACCGTATCAAGCCACCTCCTCTTCCATAGCCATAACGAAGACGGATACTAATCAAGGTTAAATCGGACTCCTTCCCAGCCCTACGCACAGCAGCGGCCTGAGCCGGCCGGCACCCGGTACAGGCATGCAGGGAGCGGCTGGGCGCCCCAAGATAAACATTGTAGGTTCCTGTGCGCACCTCCTCTATTCCTCAATACATGCACACACCAGATATCTTGCACACTTACCCAAACACATTTAGACTTAAATGCGTACCATCGCCTCAAACTCTGCGTTTGGAACGACTAGAAAAGGCCTGAGATAGTAAAGCCCCACTAAACCCAAGCTTGTAGCTATAGGTATTTGCTGAAAGGCCGGGATATTTCCAGGACAAGGCATCTGATGAACATGCAATGATCATAACAATGAAATGAGAGAAAATAGCCTGCATGAGAACATTTCTATGGTGCGTTGTCTGTTTAACTGCCGAAGTCGCCCTTCCATGACCTCAACTTGACATGACATGTTCTGCGACCCAGCGCTCGATTTTGCTCGACAAAGTCGTGCAGATTGTGCGGCGCTGCGGCACGACGCGGTCCCAGACACCGCTGGTACGGGTGATTATCCCTTCCGGTCTTCGGAGGACGACCAGCGAGCACACGCTACCGCTCACGAAGTGGACAGGCTTTCCGCCTCTCCGGCCGGGGGACAGGGATGTGGCGGCCACGCTTTTCCGCTAACCTAGCTGACGTTGCGCATAGAGTTGGCTCTGACAGGGGGGGGGGGGGGGGCGACGGAGGACGTGGCGGCGCACCAGTTAGTCATGAATGCCGACAGCGCCTTGTGCCATTCGGGTCATGCTTAGGGTGATCGTCCAGATCTTGAAGAATGGACTTCTGCATCTTGCCTACGAGATCCGACATGTTGTTGTGCGCACCGGCCGTCGGGTTAGCCACAAGCGGTGGGGGATGGGGGGGGGGGGGACGCTGCGGACCACCGCGGGCGCCGACAGGGCAAACGATCTGACGTGACG